ATCTATACCCTTATGTGCATCTCCCGCCTGTGAAAGACCCAGGATAGGCAGGAGGGATGTTCAGTTTTGCGTTCTGTCTCACAAAAGAGGCACTTGACAAATGAGAAAGACTGCCAGATGTCTGATTTTAAGTTTTATTAGTTCTGAATGTACTACATAGGTGATAGTAATGTAAGCTACTTTTCCTGATTTTTCCAGGACGATATGATCTCAGTATGCCTGAGATGAAATGTGGATGACTTAGTCCGTAATGACTACTGGCCTGCTACCCTTCACTTTTCCACGGTGTACGCTACAGATGTTTTTTGTTCTTATGAAGAATTGAAGATGGCAGCACCAGGACTGTCCTGCCAAGCATTCTTAAGAATGCTTGATCAACGAACTGTCCGCTTTGGCCGTGTGAGTATGAGTGGTGGGAATCACTAACAACTAGTACTAGTATTGATGTGTATCGCAGAACGACTATGGTGACATTATCAACACACTGATTATTATAATTGGAGCATGTTGATGAAATCAAAACAGTGATTCAGCTGGACTCGATACATTAATAGAACATCATCTAAGATTCAAAGTCTTTGTGTAAAAACTACCACTCAGTAAAGAATCTAAATTCATACACTAAATGTACAAAAGTATTGGAGCAATTTATCAACTCAATCACTCAAAACATTAGACCTGTGTATAAGATCAAGTAGTGATGTCACATCCTAGTCATGCAGTTTGCATTCAGAAAAAAAACAAATAGGTCCATAAAGACATTGGTTAAGTTTGGTGTGGGAGTCGAGTTTGCTGTGGTCTTTTTTGGGGGGGACTTTGGTCGTGATGTTTTTTGTCCGTGACATACAAAGAGCCAAAAGACTTCCAAAGATCCACTGGGCTGAGCGACTGCCTGTGGAGGCTCGATGCAGGAGGATTTGGTGTCACCTTTGACCTTATTAACTTTAGTTAACTTAACTGTGAATTATGTTGACATGTTTTACTGTTCTGAAACAGACTGGGAAGATCACAGCAGACAGCTTCAGAAAAAGCTTTTTAGAGTGGGAGGCTGTTAGATTTGAAGTGGATAAGATCTGCAGGGAGGAGCATTTTATCTGTCCTGCATGCACCCCAGACATGCTTGCTGTTTCTGTGGACTGAAATCGCAAGCACTACCGCTTTAAGAACGCAGCAAGGTACTTACAAAATGTGTGTAATTTGCAGTGTTGTTAAAGTAACCTTTGCTGTGTCATATTGAAGGTCAATGTGTACCTTTCTTTCAATTAGATCTGAAGAACAAGCCTTATTTGATGGCATCTTCATTGCAAAAGATGATGAAGTAGAAAGATTTGTGGATTACATTCATTCCAACACCAACCATGTAAACTTGTTGTATAATATTTCTAAAAACACGACCAATAACATTTTACAGTTGACATTGTTTGGGTGAGTCCTGACTATTTATATCAACCTTTTTCCATGTTGTAGGTCTCTGGAAGAGGTGTCTGTGGAGGGGAGTGGTCAGCTGCCAGGGAAACTTCTCAGAGATCCTCTAGTAAAATTGATGAGGAGGGACTTGAGCTTGCGGTCTGTCGACATGGAGTTTTTCTCGGCGCTCTCAACATGTTCAGGGGAGAAATATATGCTTATCCCCTCTACCTGCAGAACAAGCTGGCAAATAAGTCAATAAGCTTTTTTGCCATGGATGTAACCTGCAAGTACTGGCCCTACCTCCACAAAGTGACAAAAAGCTGCCCGGAGCTCCAGCACCTTCTGAGCATGAAACCATTCCTCTCAGTGTTTCATGCCAAAGCCCATGATTTTAAATGCGAGGTAAGAAAACATTACCATGTCATTAACCGTCCCTAAACACCTGCAAAGGTATGTTGGCAGCTTTTAAGTATTTTCTTCAATAGGTTAAATGGAGTGGAGCTTACCAGCAAGGGGCCGGATTGACACTTGGGGAGGAGGTTGAGCAGTGTAACGCCTTCCTCTCTAGGATTGCTGTGACCACAAAGCACATGTCCAAAGCAGGTAAGGTAACCACACACTGCACTACTTAGATTGAATGTGTTACAAGAAAATTGTAGCCAGTGAGGGACATGTGGTACAACACAGATTAGTGTATTTTCTTTTCTTTTTTACAGGACGTACAGACATGCTTACACTGATGGCCATGCGCTGGAATCAGCAAAAGTTTAATAACTTGGCTGCTTCACTTGCCTGCCGATATCAGAAGGTAGAGATGAGTATTGTTATTTTCTTATATTGTAAATACCTTCTATTGTATATTTTTGTAGGTATAACATTTTTATTTCATTTCCTTTTTTTGTTATTTGAAGGCCGCAAAACGCCTGGAAAGCCAACTTCAGGATCTGGAAAGCATGAAAATCCAGCTGGCAGTGACACAGGTTGAAGTTGAGGGCTGGGTCACTGATATTAAGGAGTGGGCAGAAGGTGATAGTTATACTATTATTTCAATGTCTCAGTTCTGCAGAATAATGGGAGACATGCTTCTGCAAGTAATTACTGTTTTAAAATGAAATCATACATACACTGTTTTCTTGGTCATTTACTTGTGCAGTTAAAATGCCAAATTTTAGTATGTAGTGCATGCACACTGGAAATCATGTCAAAACAAAGTGCCCTGAAAGTACCTGAATGGTGCACAGTCCAAAAGTTGGAACATTGGACATTTCGGTGACATTCAACACTTTATTTTAAGGTGTCCTTTTAAGATTGTAATTATACATTTAAATACGGAGTAATATTAATTAACTACATGTACTTACTATAGGATTAGGGTAGGATTAGGATTTGGTTGAGGGTTAGTTACATGTAATTATGCATAATTTATTGTTATTACTATTTTAAGTTCATGTAACATATGTAACAAGGACACCGTAAAATAAAGTGTTTCCGACATTTCTTGCAGTTAGCGGATCCCATCTTGGCTACGTTGTCATTTTCTTTGGTACCCTGTTACATACTTCCTATACATGCTAATAAATATGAAATGAATATTGAGACTCACCTGTCCTTCCTCCAGGAGCTTTTTTTTATAAAGAAAAAAAAAGCAGCAAAGAGGTTAAGGTAATCCTTATGACTTCCCTGTGGCGTTCTGTGTTACACTGAGACTTAGCTCGTTTCAGTTACTGCCATGAAAATGTAAGTGAAATGTTTACACTTCTTTTCTTCTCAGCAACAACATCCCAAAAGAATGCCGATCTTGACGCGGTGACCAGTAGAATGGAGGTGCTGGTGGCCAGCATTAAAAGAAGGTCCCAGCGCCTTTACAAAGACACCGATGGCAGCAAAGGTCGGAAAGAAAGAATCGTCTTTGACATCATTCTCTCTGACGAGACAGTTTGGCCATGGCAACTTTCACATGGTGGTATGTACACAAATCTGTTGACAATTTTGTTTGATTCACATAGTAGCACAAAACCAATTATGCCTTATCCCAGATTATCTCAAATATTATTTGAAAAATAATCATACTTACAATTTACTTATTTTCCACAACTGTATCCCAGACGCTGTAGATTTGAAAATCAAGAGGAAGGCGTTTGATGTTGTGATGGCAATAAGGAGACTTGAGGAGGAGAAGAAGATTGTTCTTTCTGAGATGGCAAAGCATTGGAAATCTCTCTCCACTCGTGCAGACACACTCAAGGAGATGTCATCCCAGCTTTCCAGTGAGGCATTGCAAAGTACGTATTTAAGTAATGTGTTGTAATACTATACTCTACATTGTAATTTTTTTTCTGATAATTTTTTGTTTTACTCCCATAAGGTGAGCTGTGGGCTCTAAATGAAGAAGGGATCGAGGGTTTCCTCAGCTTAACTTTGAGAAAGAAGCAAGAAGTCACCAGAATGATGAAGCATGCAAGAGACTGCTATGCTCAAGTTTTTGATCATATTCAGTGAAATCGACACTATAATCGCCCTATTTCTGATACCGTGGGGGGCAGAAATGTTCAGTAGCACCTCAATGCAGTACATGAGATCCACGGGGAGGAGTCGGATCAAGATCCAAGGGGTGGAGATGGGTAGGATTAGGGTTGGGTTTAGGGATTAGGGGTGGGGTTTAGGGATCAGGGGGCGGAGTTGGGTAGGTTTAGGTGTATGTAAGGTGGGAGGAGTTGGATCTGGATCCGACTCCTCCCCATGGATTTCATGTTCCGCAGTGAGAACCATCTCGAAATGTTGCTGTGGGGGGCCACCACGGTCAAATCAACAAAGAGGAAACACTGTAAGTCAGATATGCTTGAATAATAGTAATTATCATATCTACATGTTACATTACAACAATAATAATGAATGTAGTTATACAAACTGAAATTAATTTAAGAAACTGTTTTTCGAATAGTCGTCTTCTGTTTATGGTAGAACAAAACTATGTGCAGAAAAGTTTACAGGAAGGTGTAAATATGTGTATTTTACTAATAATAATAAACATAATTCCACTGAGTTTTCTGACAGTTTTACATGGACACACAACCCCATTTTTTTCTTGCATCAACTCACCTGCTACAGATGGTCTCTGAAAGCATCCTTGACAGGACTTATTCAGCTGCTTCTCATGTGCAGTGAAGGTACATAGAGGTTCAACAAATGCAAAAACTGGCCCAAAACTTGAAAATGTGACTTAATTATAGACACTATAGTGGTTATTATATACACACACAAACCAATTTTTCTGAATTTGGATGTTTAATTGGGAAGTTGAATTACTTCAAGACTTGCTTTAATAACTACATTTCCTGACCTAAGCACTTTGATTTGCCTTATATACTATATAAAAAAAAAACTACAGTTGAGTGTTTAAAAATACAGCCTAATGGCTTGTTTGATTAATTTGGATTTGTTGTACTATTGTGAAAAACCAAAAAATAAAACTATAAAAAGAGAAGCATTTTTTATTTTGAGACTAAAGGGGAAAAAACATGAGAGCATATTTATGGGTGGGACTTTGATTTAAAATCACACTGCATTATTAGTAGTTTTAAAATTTCAATTTATGGGTTAGGGTTAGTGTACATACAGTATACAACATGTGTTTTGGCATTTTTGGCACACTTCTTCCTCGGCTTACAGCATATCTCATTCAACCATTTCACAAGTTGATGAAAGGCTCTTGACATGGGTCAGAAGGTATTAGAAGTCATAAATGATGAACCAATCCATCAGCTCTGCTCCTACAGGCACCTTGGGGTGTATATGGACAATACCTTTGGCTGGAAGGCCCGTGTTGAAAGTGGGTGTTATCATTTAGAGCAAACACTCACAGTGAATCAGAGGGTTTAATGTTATACAAGGCTGCATTACAGAGCATTTTAATATGACTGTCATGAAGGTTGTGGAGAAGAATAGAAACCAGTTTCTCCAGGCAAGCATAAAGAATGTGGTCTGATCCATCTTTATTCTCCATACATTTTACATTTACATTTTACATTTAGTCATTTAGCAGACACTTTTATCCAAAGCGACTTACATCTGAGGTCTAAACCAAACAAGTTATCGTGAGGAGGCAATAACAACACAAGAAGTGCTCAAAATACAAAGTTCAAACATTGCTCAGAGTAGCATAAACTAGGCAAGTGAGGATTTAAAGGATTTTTATTTTTATTTTATTTTTTTATGTTAAGTGCTTTCGGAAGAGATGAGTTTTCAGTTGTCTTTTGAATGCTGTCAGGGATTCTGCATTCCGGATGAGGGTGGGCAGATCATTCCACCAGCATGGAACTGTGAATGAGAATGTTCTAGAGAGTGATTTTGTGGCTCTTTGTGATGGTACCACAAGCCGTCGCTCATTGATCGATCGTAGGCTTCTGGTGGGGGTGTAGACTCGTAGGAGCGAGTGAAAGTAGGAGGGAGCTGAGCCAGTGGTCGATCTGTAAGCAAGTGTCAAGGCCTTGAACTTGATGCGAGCAGAGAGTGGCAGCCAGTGCAGAGAGATGAACAGAGGAGTGACGTGGGCCCTTTTGGGCTCGTTGAAGACAAGACGAGCTGCAGCATTCCAGATCATTTGTAGATGTTTAGTTGCACAAGATGGAAGTACAGCCAGAAGAGCATTGCAGAGAGCATTGACCTCTGAACCTTGAACCCAGTCCATCTCGGTTTGTAATTTAGCAACAGAAGGTGCTAAACACATAAGACCAGCATTTATATATAAAGCTCTGGGCCTCTGCTGTCATGTAGATATGGTCACCAAAGTTTACCCACTGTATAAGCACTGTCAAATATGGAAATAAGCTATCTCACCTATTTAACGATTATTTTTTGAAATCTGATAACACCAGTGTGTTCCCCATCCCAAAAAAACACAGGGTGTATCCAAAATTTTACACTTTTAACTTCTAATTGTGAGAAATATACCAAATACTTTAAAACTACAACTCCCATAAGAGACGCGCCACACAAAGCGAGTGCTTATGTGTAGTTATTCCGGGGTGGGGGTGGGGGGACATGTTCGTGTAACTATGTAACTATGGCCGTGAATGGGCTTCATTCCATTGCAGATTGCCGCCGGCCGACGAGCACACAATACATGAGACAAATACATTAAACTGTATTTTATTATTATTGTTATCTTTATTGTTTAAATCCTCAAATACAACGTTAGACAAAAACATCAATATTACGAATACTGTGTATTTTTTATCTTTTTATTCAAGAAATGTTTTACAATAGTGCAAAAACACATTTCTTAGAAATCTAGAACATTTCCAAAAAAGCATATATTAAATAAATTAAGTCAATTTTGCACAAATATATAGTTTTTATCTTCTTATCCGCCGAGCGGCACATACTACGTCACTTCCGGAGTCTTCGGTCGGTAATCGGTATTACCAAAGTCCTTTCTCTGGTATTGCGGCTGGTACAAAGCTGAGCAACTTGTTGTTGCTGGTGACAACCAATGACAACCGATTCTGTGAATGAACGCCCGCATTGCATTGTGGAGTCTTTGCGTCTAGCTCGGATCATATGTTCTGTATTACAGCATACTGTATTATTTCACCGTAAATAAGACCGAAATATTAAAATAAATAAATACCATAACATCTAAATGAATATTGACAGTTTTAAAAATATAAACAAGAAACCCAGATTGGCCCATATAGACTGAAATAACAAAAGTAAAAAAATATAGTCTTCTGCTTTTACCCATCCGGGGTAGACTTGAACACACACATTTAGTGCATCAAGGTCAATGGAAGGCCACAGTGCAGCAGCCAGGGTTTCATGTGCCTTGCCTTTAGAAAACTTCCTGAATTAGAAAGCATGCTTTCAAATTTTTAGAGGCTTCTGGACCCTCTTGACCTCTGGTCCTGGTAAGCCTGTTCATTTATCCACCCCTGCCTACCTCAGCTACCCTTTCTACAGAAAATGTATGGTTTAGCTGGTGGAATCAACGGTTCCTTAATGATGTCAATTAATATGAATGAAAACATGTCCCACCTTCCTACATACTTTGTGCATCACATTACAATATATCATTTGATGCATTGAAGACTTCAGATGATTGGCTAAACCACAAGGTGAATGGAAAGACAAACAGAAATAAAGGTATACATCGATTTATTTGAACACAGCTTTTAACAAAAATCAATAATTAAAAAATAAATGAAAAAACAGCATGACAGCATGTTAGGGTGGAAACCATTGAAAGTGTGTAACGCGGCTCCTCCTCATCTAAAGTAGTCACATCCGCAAGCAGGATGGCTGGGCCCGTAACGGCAAACTTGACATCTCATAGCAGGTATTTAACTCATTGAATTACAGACCAATGTGTGACATTACACATGGTTGGCACCTGGTGAGAACTGGCAGGCCGGCTCCCATGTCTCCTCCCAGATTTTTCCACTGTAAGTATCAGTAAAAAAATAACATTAGAACCATTTTAACAATAGTTTCACAGCATAAATATTTTCAAAAAATATTGTACGGTCTTGTATTTCATTGTTTTTATAAAACCTATACATATATAGTGCTTGATGAAATGTAACAGATAAACATCAGCCACTCTCATAGATAAAGTCAGAGAAAGTCAATAGCTGACATCAGTCAACAAGGATGAGCTTGGCCGATACTGATGTTCTGCCAATATATTGGTGAAGGTCTACTTCCTACATAGACATTACACCGGGGGAATTATGCATAGTACTGAAAAGAGCAAGTGGCTAAATCCTGTAGACAATATTTGACACTGCATTTATTCCACCCTATACCAATTGGTATATTGGTATATACCCTATGGGTCTACAATTACAATATTGTGCAACATTTGAAGCAATTTGTGTTGATTTAATCTTGATTACAGCTCATGAAAAAAATTTAAAAAATAAAAAAATCAATCAACTCACTACATTATAATAAAGAGGAATACAGAAATGTCGACCTTTCAAAAATAAATGAACAAATCTGACTTATCAAAAATTGTTAATGCATACACTCTATACTTGGTGTGGCTGCTTTTGCACAAATTCCTGCATCGGTGTGGTGTGGTGTGGAGGCCATCAGTGTATGGCATTGCTGAGGTGTTATAAAAGCCCATGTTGCTTTGATAGTGACCTTGAAGTTGTCTCTAATGTTGGGTTTGGTTTCTATCTTTGTCCTCTCTATGGGGTTCAGGTGAGACGAGTTAAGCACAGCAATACCATGCTAAGCAACCCAGTTACTAGCAGTTTTCGCACTGTGGCAGGGGCAGAGTCCTGCTGGAAAAGGATATCAGCATGTGCGTAAAGCTCGTCAGCAGATGGAACCATGCTCTAAAATCTCCAGGTAGAAGGCTGCATTGACGCTGGACCTAAAACCTAGTGGACATGACAATTCTCTCAACGCTGCTTTTTGGTTGCAAAACTTTGAGACCCACCTGTACATTTAAAGTTGTGTGCTACAATATAAATTTCAACCTTTATCCACTACCTATGAGATGGTAAAAAGTGGAAAAAGAGTACATGTATGAAGGCAATATAAACCAATATAAAGCAGTACTTACCATGCAGAGCAAGGTAACCATTTCACCCTTACTTCCTCTTGCCCCTACAGAAAGACAAAAACATATAATCAGGTTTTGAATTTCATAATTTTTGGGGCAAGGCCACTTGGCCTTCAGTTGAACTTAAATGGACTCAAATTACCAATGCTTAAATGGTCAGTATTTTGTGATATGTGAAATGCCAGATGAGCCACAGACAATGGAGAGATGATCAGACAGCCTAATGAAAAATATATTTCTTACCTCATTTATCCTTCGTCCTGTTATGGAGTCATATTTGAAAACTTTTTGCCTACTACATTTCCGGCAACCTTAAAATGACAATAATAATAATAATAATAATATTAATTAACCATAAATGTAAAAAAAACCTGGAAATTAAACTTAAAGTTAAACTTAAAGTTTCATAAAACCTGGGGAACAACTTTAAGCATTGTCCTTGAACTTTGAAAACGTCTGAAGAATACATATATAAAGGGCCATTCACACCAAAAACGATAACTATATAAAAAAATATTGTTCTCGTTAATATGATAAACTATAACGAGATTGAGAACAATATTGTTGGGGATCGCTTTTAAAGCGATTTTGAGAACAATAAAAAGAAGAGCTAACAACCAATAGGAACCCATCACATCTTAGCCATCACATTTATTAACACAAGGTGAGACTTTGCTTATAGCTGGTCAGTCTGTCTGGACGCTTTTATCGTTATAGTTCCTGGAATGAACTGCTCTTTAGCCATTAGATTCAGTGATTTCATAGCCGAAATTTAGCCTAATTATCCTACTGCCTGGCCTAAAGGTTATTGAAGCAGATTGTGAACAGTGATAGGGGGGGATAAGCTACCTGGGCTGCCCACTGATGTGTGCGTGAGTGTGTGTGGTGTATTCATCTCTCCTCAAGTGTGTATTGCTCATTGCTTTACTCCTAGAGTGTGCATGTTCAGTACTGAAAGGTATGCGTGCGAGGACAAACTCCTTTGTGTATCAGACTGGCCACTGAAAATTACTCACATTAACTACGCTAATTGACTGCACTTAAATTCACCTAAAGATTTCTGTATTTCATGAATAATGATTACAAAAAGGAGAAATTCATACATAGTGTGCTAAGACCACAGTTAACTTACACTTTCTTTTTTGGGGGGGGGGTTGTTCCTTCACAGGGAGAGAGACAGGGTGTAAATCTAAAATATAAAATGTCTCCTTTTCCTGGGCCTGAGGGTGTGGATCGGGCTGGGCCTGAGGGTGTGGATCGGGCAGGGCCTGAGGGTGTGGATCGGGCAGGGCCTGAGGGTGTGGATCGGGCTGGGCCTGAGGGTGTGGATCGGGCTGGGCCTGAGGGTGTGTGGATCGGGCAGGGCCTGAGGGTGTGGATCGGGCTGGGCCTGAGGGTGTGGATCGGGCTGGGCCTGAGGGTGTGGATCGGGCAGGGCCTGAGGGTGTGGATCGGGCTGGGCCTGAGGGTGTGGATCGAGCAGGGCCTCAGGGTGTGGATCGGGCAGGGCCTGAGGGTGTGGATCGGGCTGGGCCTGAGGGTGTGGATCGGGCTGGGCCTGAGGGTGAGGGTGTGGATCGGGCAGGGCCTGAGGGTGTGGATCGAGCAGGGCCTCAGGGTGTGGATCGGGCTGGGCCTGAGGGTGTGGATCGAGCAGGGCCTCAGGGTGTGGATCGGGCTGGGCCTGAGGGTGTGGATCGAGCAGGGCCTCAGGGTGTGGATCGGGCTGGGCCTGAGGGTGTGGATCGGGCTGGGCCTGAGGGTGTGGATCGGGCAGGGCCTCAGGGTGTGGATCGGGCTGGGCCTGAGGGTGTGGATCGGGCTGGGCCTGAGGGTGTGGATCGGGCAGGGCCTGAGGGTGTGGATCGGGCAGGGCCTCAGGGTGTGGATCGGGCAGGGCCTGAGGGTGTGGATCGGGCAGGGCCTGAGGGTGTGGATCGGGCTGGGCCTGAGGGTGTGGATCGGGCAATGTCGTCGTGGAGTTCCCTACAATATTGCATGAGTATGTTAATTTTCAATATTTCACCATCATAAAAAAACAGGCATGACTTAAATTACACAAATCCTACCTTCTTTGATCAATACAAAATTGTAGGCCTTTCTCATGGTGGCCACAATTTTTAGGTTGTCCTCAGTGGGTAGCAGATGGGTCACCACATCAGACACCCACTTTCCAGAGGCCTTATCTTTCTTTGCGAAAAATAGAATTGGGACATAGCCTAATGCACTTAGTTTTTTCACCTGTAATAAATAAATGCAGACAGCAAACATTAGTTATTCCCACTGCATTACTTTCCACCCAATTGGAAAACAAATTTGCATTAAATACATTAGTGCTACTGTTTCTAATATCGGGCTACACAACTTACATGACCAACCTTAACAGCTTTTCCCCTTAGAAACAACATTACATGATGTTTTATTAACAAAGTTCGGGAGGAGCACGTTCAGATAATTAAACCCAATTAGACACGAGTGGAGCAAACTCTGCTAATCAATCCAATCAACGAGTTAAGAGGTGTATATATAACAACAAGCTTACCACCTCTGTCCGTTGACAGTTTGACAGCATCCCTCCACCACCCCATCTCCTCACTTCTAGCCCTAAATACTTTTATAACAATGGGGGAAGTACTCTGGGTTCAGGCAAAAATCCTGAGCTCGGAGACCCCCCCCGGACCGCACGCCAAATACTCATAATCTTTACTCTGTTAAATTGATGTAAGTGTGAACTCGTGAAATATGTACTCTATACCAGTGGTTCTCAAAGTGGATTCGATTCGAATGAGAAAGTTGTGCTTAATCGTTAAGAAATGCTTATCAATGACGATGTAATGATCTAGAATCTACATATAAACTCTTGATTATGAATGCACTAATAAATTAAAACATTAATTTTAATTTAATCAAGTCAATCTGTTGTGAATCACTTCACTCAGGTCATGATGAACCATTCTTCCTGCTGCTTAGCTTGGCTTATTTGCCATTAAGATAGCTGATGAACATGGATAAATGTTTGAGTCAGTCCACATCATTAAGTGATTCAAAATCCAAAGTTGACTAAAGACCAAGTAAGTACACACCAAGAGAATAAAAATGGCATCAAAGTATACAAATGGTAGCAAGCATATGCTTAATTGTTTTAATTATGAGGGGGTCCTTGGAAATTCTTCTCCCACACAAAGGGTCCTTGGCACAAACAGTTTGAGAACCCCTGCTCTATACAACCAATATTCATCTAATGTTGTGCTGGATGCTGGTGGTCAAATAGTTAGCAATCTGGGATTCTAAAGGGAACACAAAAAGTCCTGACACCCTTCAAAAATAATTATATTGATTGGACACACACAAAACAAAATATGATAAAAATACATTTTGACTGGACTAACTCTTTATGGCCACCTATCCACCTGATCCAAACACTCTCCTCCCCCCCTTGGTCGGTCTACCTGTCTCTGCCCACGGCAAATGTAGATTGGGGGACTAACAGAAACACTCATTTGGGAATGCCACCAACGGACATAAAATAGCCAGCTGCACTACAGAACCTGGTCTCGGTCCTACTCCAGTAGGTATAGTCGAATCCTTTCCACTTTTAACCCGACATTAATCTCCCCTGTAGTAATTCAAATACTTTTTTAAGTTGTGTCTTTGAAATAGGACACCTGGAATATGGCCTTGCTTTTAACAACACATATGTTGCACACAGCATGGCTTTCACACATGTCCTGAGTTATTTGTCACATCATCATGCACTTTCTCTAAAATGAACACAGCGCAAGGCACTATAAGTGTGCGATGCAATATTCACATGCTAGGGGTGGTAGTGCAAGGTAAGAGCATGTTATCTACTTACATAATCATGCAAGACTGTCTTTAATAGTGACTCTGGATCTGAATTCTGTGATCTGCCTTTAGCAGAGACAGAAACTTCAGTAACACGCATACTGAAGTACCTGTGTGGTACTAAAGCAAGGTTATATTTGCAATGTAGCCGGTAGTACATGTAAACAAATGTACATGAGCGCCTGGTCAAAAAGAAAGTCTATTCTATGCATGTCAAGCAAATTACAAATTAATTCAAATAATATGTTACACCAATGCCATCTATGACTACCTCAAATTCATTCACTGACAAATTCAACTTATTTTTGTAAAATGAGGCCCTTGCCCTATCACAAAATATTAATGAAAGTGAAACAAATCATATTGCTTAATGAAATATGAGCATTTCTACTTACTGCAATATGGGCAGAGTCCACCACTCTTCCTGCATTTCTGTTTTTTAGGACCCTTTCCCCCCACTTCCTGTCCAGGGTCACTTTTTTGGCCGCTACTTTCTTTTTTTGGGAGATGGCTGCGAAACAAGAGCTGCAGGTTTTGCGGCTCACCTGTGTTAGTAAAAGTATACCAAAGTGAGACATCAGATCCACAGTCACAGAGAAGAAGTAGAATCAATATACAGTTTAATTTGGCTGTATACAGGAAAGAGAGGAACACACAAAGCACAATGCAATTCAGAATATGCATCTCTAGATTGACACAGGATTATTATTATTATTATCACACAGTGAAAGTGGCAGATGTAGGAGACACCCAGGCTAAATCAATGTTGCCTATGGCATTTGGTGCAAAACAAGCAATCAAAATTGATATCAACCAGATGCCTTAAATTATCACTGTTTTGTAACACAGAACACTTATCATACAGGGTCGTTTAGTAGGAGTATACTTTAGTGTCCAATTGACCTAATAATGAGAAATGTATAACATTTAAAACCACATATTTGAATACTGGACATAATGCTCTATTTGACTTTCCCTCACCTGGTTAGGTGCTTGGCAGGAGGGGCAAGGCCTGAACTTCTTTCGAGAAATCTACACCACACACACACACACACACACACACACACATTTTCTAGAGTGCACTTAAGACAGTGTAAACAAACACAACATAACTTATTGGCATAATTGCTTTCTACCAAAACAATGAGAACGATTGAGCAGCTAACTTTAAGGTTAACTGTTTAGTGTTTAGTGTCACTGCAACAATAACCATGCACTTATATCAGTCTCTATGCCATGAATTTTCTACAGGATAGTTGAGGGCTATGTAATAAAAATCTGAAAATCTTACATTCCCCTATGATTGTACCTTACATGATAATATGCGACAAAAATGAACTTGAATTCAATTAACTTAGCTAACTTTGCTAGCTTGCACATTTGGTGCAGTTCAAGCTATATTTTTTATAATGTCTTCTATCATTTCTCTCATAAGAAAGGGCCACCTTACAAATCTAAAGTTTCTAAACACAATTTCTTGTCCTGATCCAACCGTTTTTGATGTGTAAATGTAAGAAGAGGATCCATCTCTATTAATGAACCCTTCTACTTACCCAGTGGAAAATCGCAATGGACCTTGGGATCGCCCATACGGTGACGTCAGCGTTATTAATTTAGAGGATTTAGTAAAAATAATAATTTTTAAAAAATGATTAATTGAACACAATCGTAGCATATTAAAATCAACAAACCTCCGATAGAAATACGTTATCCAGCATGCTCTAGTGTTTTACCTATGATAAGAAAACGCTTTAAAACTGCATACTTGCACGCGCATTGGAGCGTTAAACTCACCTTTTAATTACGTTTTACCTGCAGTTGTGCGTTGCTTTGGTCAAACTCACCTCTGAATGCCGTTTTACCTGCAGTTGAGTGTTGTTAAACTCACCGCTGAATGTGGTTGCACACCATGTGCGTTGTTAAACTCACCGCTGATGAACGCGCTTAACTTTTGAGGGCCCTTTGATATCAGATTGCGAGGGTTTTTAAACATCAAACACCAGTTGGAGGGCATTTGAATCGCCCTGGTATAGATAATTTTTGGTAGCGTATTCCTTTTTATTTTTATTTATTGTTGTCTCGACCCACAAGGCAGACAACGGGTTGCGGTGTGGTGATCGACCCAAGACGTCAAATTTCAACGCTGTTGAGTTCTATAGAAGTCTATTGGACTGCCCCGCACGTTGAAAAATGAAGCCGAAGGTATACCCAGTGCGTCAAAAAAGTGACGCCAGGGTCCCTTGACCTGCGTCAGACATTTGACAGTAGGGAGGGAGACTGTGTTGTGGATTAATTGCTTTTTGAATAAAGGATTCATATTGTATTACTTTTCCATGTGTATGGATTTCATTTGGCGTAGGTGGCACAAAGTTTCATAAATTGTTAAATCCTCCCAAATTGAGTACATAGTGTACTGTAGATTTTTGGAACAACAGGGAGAGGACACCACAATGTTTTTTGACCTTTTATCTTGCTAGGATCACTCCTCTTGTCACGATCCTGTCCTGAGTGCTGTGTTTTCGGGTTTGGTTTTGTATCTGCTATTTAGTCGGTTTTGGTTCAATGTCTTCGTTCTTAGTCCTGTACTTTAGTTCATGTCTTTAGTGTTTACTCCTGGTCTTGTGTTCTCTGTTTAGCTCTGTGTATTCCCTTGTTCATTTACTGGTTCTGTTCAGCTCTCTTTGTACCGGTCTGTCATGTGTTATAGATTGTTTCCTGCATCTCAGCCCTGTGTCTTAGCTCCTAGTTTTGTGTCTTAGTGTTTTATTCTGGTCTGTGTTCTGTCTGTGTGGGTTACTTGGCCCCATGTTTGCCTGTCAAGTGTTCCGTCTGTTTCCCCCAGTTATCACTCTGTCTGCCTGCCTCTTTGTTCCCCTTTGCTGTCTCTGCCTGCCTGTCTCTGTCTTCCCTGCTGTCTCTCTGCCTGCCTCGTAAGTCTCATGTCTTTCACCTGTGTTGCTCCCGCCCTGCTCGTTAGTCCCTGTGAATATATACCTGGTGTTTCTGCCTTGTCCTTGTTGGATCATTACCTTGTGCTACCCTACCTGTGTCGTGTTCCTCGTGTTCCTGTGTGCGATGTCCTGTTTTGTCTGCTCAGTCTTGTCACCCTGCTTTGGGTTTTGGGATTTCTGTTGGATAACTTTGTCTTGGACTCTGTTGATCAGCCACTCTGTAAGTGAGCTCGCCTTTTGTTGCCTCTAATAAACCACTGAACTGCACCAGTCAGCCTTCGTGTCCTGCGTTTGGGTCCACCAACCTGCCTACAACCTGCTCACCAAACCGCACCCTGACACCTCCGCTGGCAGCTGGGGACAGAATTAACGATTAAGACTTACAGTCTTGCTCACAGTGTGTGTTGAAACGATCACTTCTCTTTCTAGTTTCTGGATTTCCAAGTCAATTTCCTCAGTGTCTCTTTTTATCTTCATATGTAGGTTCAAGTCCTGCCAGAGGGGTTTTGGTGAATATTTAATTTTGTTAATTTATTCAAGTGTGTGCTGTACAGAGATCTGACTGTTTGTAAAACATATATCAGTTAGCACAGCAGGACCTGGTCACAGTGTGGATGTCCTTCAGGTAAAACAGCTTCAGGGTCCTGTTACAAATATGACACAGTATTTTCTATGAGGACCACGTCACTGACTTCTTCTCTAGTATCCACGTGGACTAAATAAGTAAACCATGTCCATAAGATTGACAAACTCCAGCCTCTCTCTGATAGGCCTTTGTTCCCTCTCCTGACTCGTCACTTCTGTCACTCTGCGACACAATTAGAAAATCAGGGCCACACGTCACACTGATATTATTTTGAACAGCAGGTTCATACAGTCTGTATTTCTCCATCCTCCCCACACTGAGGGAGGGTAGGGCTGTCCAGGATAACACCTGGGGGTGACCTCTCCAGTGTGAGCGGACCAGAGGTTGGATGCTGGAAACCACCTTGTCATCAGGTGACCTTACAGCGCGCTAAGAAAAGAAGCATTAAGATAGAGAAGGATAACAGAAACGTCGACCCTAGAAGAGCCCTAATCAGCTAATTGACCCAAAGCTTTCCTGAGCATTTAACCTCTGTCTTGTTCAGTGCATTTGACCTTTTAATCAATATTCTAATTTTTTGAGATGCACCTGTATTTAGCTACAACGTCATGTCACCAGTTAGTAATGCCTAGCGTTTATTCCAGATCACATGCTCTTTTTCGCTTAAATTGGCATTTAAAGACCTGTTTCATGTATTTATTTGATTCTGGTTTCACGTCATATAACCCTTATTAAAACTAATTTATTTCGCTTTATTCGCTAATTAATAATGCCGTTAGAAATTTCCACTTACAGTTATCTCAAATTCAACACTTTAATGAGCATGTAATTTATATAATCTATATAAATATATAAATATATATATATATGAGAGAGAGAGATGCAACTTTGATACATTTGATAGATACATATCAGCACATGTATAACCAGGGCTGGAAATTAACACCACCAAGCGCCAAATGCAGTTTTTTTTTTTTGTTTGGCGGCTAAATGTTGGAAGGCTACCTGCCACATTGGCGGGTAAACGTATCTCCATATAATATATGTTTGACGGTAGCTAAGAGCGGATCAGCGTTGTTTTTTGATGTATGTCGCACTTAAATTGGTCCCCGCTGTACACGGGGGTCTAAAATCGTGTAACACGCTGATTAGGGGCGTTCATTGTTTATGTTCAATTCAGGTGTCTTGGCTTTGATTGGTGTAGATATGGAAGGGGTTGGGCGTTAGGGGAGTGGAGTCGGGAGCAGTCAAGTCGTGCTTGGAGTACCTGGAGTGGTTTTGGCATAGGTTGTGATTTTTTTGTTAGTACTTAGCATTAATAAATTAGAGACCAATGTAGAGGGTTTTTCTTGCACAAAGATTTAATAACTGAAAACAACCTACAATTAATATTAAGCGGGGCAACGAGGGGTGTCTTGGACACATTGGTGTCTCACAGTGGACTTGAACCCGGGTCTCTCACAGCAAAGTATGCGTCTCATCCACTGCTCCATCACCACCCCAAGCTCAATCTCAATTATCTCAATTAAAAGTACTGAAACAAATGTTTATGTGACATAAAAAGGAAAGTTATTATCTTGGCCGGTGGATTTTTTCATCTAGCAGTCCCATTGGCCGGTGAGCCAAAGTTTCCAGCCCTGTGTATAACTAATGATTTGAAGGAAAACAAGCTAGGCCTGCTGTCTGTGTCCTGATGGCCGCAAATGAATTATGTTCATGGAAAGTCCCAAAACGTTCTTCAACTATAGTCAGTCCAGGGTGAGAGAGAAAAAAAGGGAGGCGTTGTTTTTGCTGGTATTGAAGAAGTGTATAAACGAACTGACTTTTCTGCACATAACTGTAACAGCAGTCTTTCTGCAGAAAGTCTCAGCTGACTTGGTGGTGCAATAAAGAGATCTTTAAGCTTCATCTGTCTTATTGTGAAAGCTCAGGTGCAAGTTCTCAACAGCAGGTCACTGTATCATAGATGGTGGTTGAAAAATTGTTTCTAGTAGCTTTAGATAGAGGGTAGAGGGATAAACCACTACATTAAAAGTAGCCATTACGGCAGGTTAAGTGTAAAGTAAAATACACATGCTTATCCTGCATTACTGATGGCTGAAGAAGATGCATGTTCTAGCAAATAGTTATTGATGTGAAATTGTTTGCATTTTAAATTGAGACCATAATCTGAGGCTTTTTTTAAAAAACATAATCCATTCAGGAGAAGGTATTATAGCCCACACACAAGAACAGCTTACAGTATCAGCCTGTTCTAAGTGTAGTTTATACAGGAAAGGGGTCTACTATCAAGATCATTTAAAAAATCTAAATATCAGCATAAAAATTGGCATCGGCCCCCAAAAACCCATGTTGGTTGGGCTTTATTCAATTGCTATACTCTAACTTATTACCTAAGATCTCTTTGCAGCCACAGCAGTAAGTTGTCGGTAGTCAGACGGTGCAAGAAAAGAAATCCTGTATAGAAAAAAAGATGCATAAAGATGCCTCGATAATTGTGGCCTCCCGAACTGTAATTAAATCGTGAGGTGCATATAGATTCCCACCTCTACTGGTTTCACATCATAAGCACACAAGGAAAAAGAGCACACACCTTTTCACTCTGCTCTTTAAGTAAGAAGAAAGTTAGCATACACTCACTGGCCACTTTATTAGGTACACCTTGCTAGTACCGGGTTGGACCCCCTTTGCCTTCAGAACTGCCTTAGTCCTTTGCGGTGTTGGAAACCTTCCTCAGAGACTTTGGTCCATACTGACATGATAGCATCACTCAGTTGCTGCAGATTTGTCGGCTGCACAGCCATGATGAGAATCTCCCGTTCCACCACATCCCTAAGGTGCTCTGTTGGACCGTGAGCTGGTGACTGTGGAGGCCACTGGAGTTC